ATCATTGCAAACTTGTGTATTGCAGTTCTATTTTTCGGTTCTTCAATTTCTCAGTCTTAATGTCTTAAAAACCACTTTGAGCTTTATTTACTTTATTTGGAAAACGACAACACACAATCGCTTTGTAGTTTTATTTACCAGTGAGTTCCTTTTTTTGAAATGAAGCTCTTCTGAGTAGATTGCCATGAAACACCTTAAGGTTAATTTAGCCTGCGAGTAAGCTCTCCTATTTGGGCAAGTTAAACGAGTCTCGCGAGAACGCGTGAGCGAGCGGCGAAGCCGCCAGGGGCAGTGGAAAGGAGAGCTTGCAACCATCCCTTACAAATTTTCATTTGTACTTCGCCCAGATGAAGGGAAATACCATTGGCTGAAAAATGACGTTCCCGAATCAAAGTTGACTGATAACAGGCCAAGCTGGCACCCGCTTTGTCGGTGTGTCAAATTTGGTTCTCAGGGGGATCAGATTGGTACCGAGAACTTGTTTCAGCCCTCAATGCAGACGGGCTCGTTTGATGTAATTCTCGCAAAGAGAATATTGTGTGCCGAGGATAAGTCGGACNACATAAAAAGTTATCATTGCAAACTTGTGTATTGCAGTTCTATTTTTCGGTTCTTCAATTTCTCAGTCTTAATGTCTTAAAAACCACTTTGAGCTTTATTTACTTTATTTGGAAAACGACAACACACAATCGCTTTGTAGTTTTATTTACCAGTGAGTTCCTTTTTTTGAAATGAAGCTCTTCTGAGTAGATTGCCATGAAACACCTTAAGGTTAATTTAGCCTGCGAGTAAGCTCTCCTATTTGGGCAAGTTAAACGAGTCTCGCGAGAACGCGTGAGCGAGCGGCGAAGCCGCCAGGGGCAGTGGAAAGGAGAGCTTGCAACCATCCCTTACAAATTTTCATTTGTACTTCGCCCAGATGAAGGGAAATACCATTGGCTGAAAAATGACGTTCCCGAATCAAAGTTGACTGATAACAGGCCAAGCTGGCACCCGCTTTGTCGGTGTGTCAAATTTGGTTCTCAGGGGGATCAGATTGGTACCGAGAACTTGTTTCAGCCCTCAATGCAGACGGGCTCGTTTGATGTAATTCTCGCAAAGAGAATATTGTGTGCCGAGGATAAGTCGGACCGAGTTTGTAGTTCTTGTGGAAGGAAATGAAAACCCTTCATCAGTTGTATTCATTTGTGTCAAGCGCCTTGTTTAGTTCTGAAAACTGGGTGAGTGAAGTGAAGAGTGATTAAAGCGCAGTCTTCCAACATCGGTTTCTTCGCCCGATTGAATTCCACTGGGTAGAAAAATTCAGAAACGTGTACTTGACAGTGTAGCTGTGTAGCTTTATCGTAAAGAAGGAAAAGAGAAATAGTTGGAAGCAACTGGAATAAACCTTAAGAGAACCAAGTGCAGGAAAACGCTATTCTCCAGTTCCAGACGGACAAATATATGATGTTTTTGTTTTTGATTGCGATGGGGAGTAGTCTTCTACACTGCAGTATGGACGACCTTTTAAAAGTAAACGAAAAGAGAATCAAAGTAGTGAGTTCTTATCCGAACTGATACGTTGAAGTTCGATGTCCTGGTGAAAAAAAACATATAAGTGATTAAAAACATTGCTTTGATGCTGTTGCGAGAGCGATTTATAAATAAATAATTCTATGCGCCCTCGGCTGTCTAAACTTACTTGACAGGCGGTTGTCACTTTTCTAATCTGCGGCACGTTTGCGGTGACAGTTTTCACGCTTTGCGGAGTCCCGGGATTTCCGGGGTGGAAATGAAAATTTATGAGAGATCGTTGCAAGCTCTCCTTTCCTCGGCTTCCGCTCGCGCGTTCTTGCGAGGCTCGCTTCGCTTGCCCAAATAGGAGAGCTTGCTCGCAGGCTACCTCGCGAGGCTCGCTTCGCTTGCCCAAATAGGAGAGCTTGCTCGCAGGCTAAGGTTAATTATACTGTTGAGGATGGCAGCAAGTTGACAACTCTATTTATTTATTTAAATCTTTCATTCTCAGAATCGGAGAGAAAAAGCTGGTTAGATGGGTTTTAGAAGTCGAAATTTTCATGCCATGTATTTAGCAGCTGGAAGTTTCATGTTCGCGGGAGATGCAGCCGAGCCACACAGTCTGAAATTTTTTGAAATCTTCAACTTAATAACGACCATGTAAAAGAATTAATAAGAAATAAAATAAGCATTTTCTTGAATGAAAGTATGTTTTTTAGCATGTTTAGTTTCCCGGCCAAGATCATTCAGTAGACCGAAAGCGCCGGGTATTCGTGACGGTAGTCAGCAAAGTTGAGGTTGTTATTAAATCCCGCCCATCTTTTGTTTTGAGTTCTTGTTTTCTCTGATTGAACGGACTAAACTTTTATTTCCTGGTTCTAGCGTTAATGATAATAATGACGTCTTTTTTTTAGTTTCTTTCATAAGTATTGCTATTCTTTTCTTAGTTATGGCCTTCTCCCCAAAATTAACTTATGCCAAACCAGTAGCATGAAAGAAAAGCAGTGAAAACAAATTCGTCTTGTCGAGCGCTAGCAACCTACAAAATTCAAACATCATTTTCACCGTTGGTGCAACCAGATAACCTTGTGGTGCAAAAGTTTGACACTAGAAAAATATATAAGCTATGGAATGAAGTGATTTTTTTCGCCCCCTTTTTTGTCTGTTTCTTCCTTTTTGCTTTTAAACTTGGCGTGACGGCAAAGTTATGCTTACACAATTGGTTTATATACTAGACTAGAAATAAAAAGCTGACCAGATGTTAAATTTGTGCTCATGCGCAGTGCGTTTTGCCGCGGTGTTATAGTAGTTAGTATACAATAGTTTAAGAGGTGCCTCGGATGTGAAGTGCAGTAATTGTCAAAATGATCCTGCTAGTAGAGGGTGGCCTGCTAAATACAGGTTTCACTGTTTCTTGTGATGGGAGCCTGCGTAATACACACCCCCTCATCATACAGAAACCTATGTATGTCTCTTTGGAGTCCTTATTAACAAGGTTCCTTTCTTGTTACCGGAATTGCAGAAATTTAACTACAGCTGGGCCCCTTCACTTTTCTGAGAGAGGTCTGCCTTGTGTATGTGTGTGTGTGTGTGTGTGTGTGTGTGTGTGTGTGTGTGTGTGTGTGTGTGTGTGTGTGTTTCCTGCCCACAGGCAGGTCCTTCCGTATAGTTCTCGATCTAAGGCAGCCTTTTGACCACTAAATAAGGGCCACGATCCTTTGCTCTATCCAGCATTCCCACTCGAGGTCTTCCAGGTGGCCTCTCTTCCTTCAATAGCTAATGGGACAAGATCACCATGGAATAGGGTATGACCAAGCCAGACTCTCTGTCCTCTGTAGAGGTGCCCAAATACCATTATTAGAGAAAGTTATCATCCCTCCAATCCAGCCCCCCTTAATTATTCACACAAAATGAAAAAGTGATTGACTGTATTTATTGATCATGACTGTAATACTTTATGTGGAGTCATTCAGTATGGTTTATTCAAGTGCTGGAAGTTCCGATTTTTTTTTTATCTTCAGTTGCATGACATCCCACCTCATTTGTACGAACATTTCTACTTTACATTTTAATTCGTTATAAAAAAAATTAATCCCATCTCCTGGTTGGTTGGTTGTTTCCTGGTCCAAACAGGAAGTTAGAACTGTGACACTAGTCTGTTTCTTCCTTCTGCTATTGGTGATGGGTTTCGCTACATTAAGTAACCCCCCCTCTCGGTAAATCCCCCCCACCCAACCAACCTCAAGCTTTCTTGAAATCAAAAACCCAAGGGAGTATAATGAGTCTTTATCAGCAATAATTATTCTAAGTGTGTGTTATTTTACAAACAACAGGGGACTCCCAGATCTGAATACAAAGTCAGCCCTAACCATAACACCTTAAAAGAGGAACAAGCTCAATGTCCTTTGAGTGTAAAAATTGTTCTCGATTTGTTTGGGTTTTTTTTTTTTTTTACAATAACATTGACAGTTTTTGACGTCCATTTTCTTGAAAGTTTCTCGGAAAGTGGCACGCACAAGAAAGAGAAAAACAAATTGCGTCACCATCACGCCATTTCAGTTTTTCCCTCTTGCAAACAGCTCAGCTGAACCACGGATAATTAGAAGAAGAAAATAGAAGTGCAGCTTCTATTTTTCTTTGGGAGCAGTGTTTATGTTTATTTCAGAGGCGATTTACAGTATACCCTATCCATATCATTAACACTACAATACAAAAACTTAAACTTTGTCTCATCCTAAAAATAGGTCAGTGTTTGTATAGGTAATAGCATGATTTGATATTTGGCATAAATACCACTGGTGATATTTCGAAATTGTTATGGCGAGTGAAATTTGAGACAATTTTGAGATATCACGAGTGGTATTTATGCCAAATATCATTTACAAATCATGCTATTATTTGTTTATACTACTACCCGCAATAGTTTTGTAATTTTCCCATGTAGGTTTTTCAAATTAACCTGAAATACCACTGCTCTAAGCCAATCAAATTGCAGAACTTTCTCATGTAGTAGTATAACAAAGATAATATATTTCTAAGTTTTGTTAAGCCTTATGGAAGACAAGTGTTTCCTCACGAAAGAAGTGAAGGTTGTACTATTAACCAGAATAGTTTGCTTCCCAGTTGTATTCTAGTAGTTAACAATAGACCGTTTTCAAGAGATCATTATAGGACCTGTCCTATTATGGCTCTTGCCGTTTTACATTAAACATTTTTAAAAGCGTTGCAGTTCGATTTTTCAAAGACCTGCCTGAAAAGTACCTTGGTCATTGTACATTTATGACCATTTATACCTGAAAATAACATAACAACTTGCTTCACTACGAAAATTGATTTGAAAAAGTTAAAAACGGCGTTTCCACGGTGGTCCGCAAGCAAATTTCCCTTCTCTGATGTGAACTTTTTATCCCCACTTTTTATACATTTCTCAAATACGGCTTCTTGTCACTGGTTGTCCGTAAATAAATTTGCATGGAAAATTAAAAGCTTGTTTGAGCTGGGTACTTGAAATAGGAGACCTAAGGAGTCATGAAAGAGTTCACACTGGGGAAAAGCCTTATGAATGTAAACAGTGTGGCAAATGTTTTAGTCGAATAGGAAGCCTAAAGATTCATGGAAGAGTTCACACTGGGGAAAAGCCTTACAAGTGTAAACAATGTGGCAAGTGTTTTAGTCAAGCAAGAAGCCTAAAGATTCATGGTAGAGTTCACACTGGCGAAAAGCCTTATGAATGTAAACAGTGTGGCAAGTGTTTTAGTGTAGTAGGAAACCTAAGGACTCATGAAAGAGTTCACACTGGGGAAAAGCCTTATGAATGTAAACAGTGTGGCAAGTGTTTTAGCGAAGCAGGAAACCTAAGGACTCATGAAAGAGTTCACACTGGGGAAAAGCCTTACAAATGTAAACACTGTAGCAAGTGTTTTAACCAACCAACTAACCTGAGGAAGCATGAAAGAATCCACACTCTATTAAAGTTGCGTAAATTTTCCAAGAACAACAAAAGTCTGTCTAAACGTTTGGAATCATGTAAACGGAGGAGAACAGGAGGAAAAAACCTTGACTTTAGGGCCACAGGCTTTACAAACAACCTGCGAACACACAGAGAGACTGGAAACAGTGGCGTAGCAGACCCGCAATCAGTCATCACTGAGAAACACAGCTGTTGGATTTGTCAAGAGGAAATGAGTAGTGAGGCTCTTCTTCTTCAACACTATGAACATCATATGACCTATGTTTGTGAAGACGATTCATAAAGTTAAAATGCGTTTCAGTTCTTGTACGTTTTTCTACTTTTGATTTCTTTGGGTTCTTTGACAACATTTTCTGGTTTCAACTGTACACGTTTGGTTTTGTTTAAAGCTTGTTACTTTCATACCTGCGATTCATTTCATGCCTACGTTTATCAGGTACTATACGTATGAACGATGAAAGAACTGCTTCTGTGTTAGTTATCAAGAAAAAACCCAGGTTTTAGCCTCACTTACAGCGGATTATAAGTGGTTTGTCTTCTTCATACCATTTACGGTGATTGACATAATAACTGAAGAGTTTCTGAAATCACAGCTGTGAGAACATTGATAATAAAAACAGCACTATAGCATATGGACGAAAATGAAAAAAACATTCCTTAAGAAATCTTAATCCATGATTCGTAACGCGAGAAGTCATAACTGCATGCCTTTGGAGAAATTCCATCGGTATTTAATTTAACAAATTGGCAACTTTTGTATGGTCTGTACTCTTAAAGTTATCGATCATGAGAATGACGTCAAGGTGTTCAAACTTTCAAAACGCTAGTGGAGCCACCAGCCGTGACGAGAAATTTCACTGCAAGGTTTTAAACATTTTGATGTCATTTCTATGAAAAATTGTTCTCGATTTGTTTGGGTTTTTTTTTTTTTTTACAATAACATTGACAGTTTTTGACGTCCATTTTCTTGAAAGTTTCTCGGAAAGTGGCACGCACAAGAAAGAGAAAAACAAATTGCGTCACCATCACGCCATTTCAGTTTTTCCCTCTTGCAAACAGCTCAGCTGAACCACGGATAATTAGAAGAAGAAAATAGAAGTGCAGCTTCTATTTTTCTTTGGGAGCAGTGTTTATGTTTATTTCAGAGGCGATTTACAGTATACCCTATCCATATCATTAACACTACAATACAAAAACTTAAACTTTGTCTCATCCTAAAAATAGGTCAGTGTTTGTATAGGTAATAGCATGATTTGATATTTGGCATAAATACCACTGGTGATATTTCGAAATTGTTATGGCGAGTGAAATTTGAGACAATTTTGAGATATCACGAGTGGTATTTATGCCAAATATCATTTACAAATCATGCTATTATTTGTTTATACTACTACCCGCAATAGTTTTGTAATTTTCCCATGTAGGTTTTTCAAATTAACCTGAAATACCACTGCTCTAAGCCAATCAAATTGCAGAACTTTCTCATGTAGTAGTATAACAAAGATAATATATTTCTAAGTTTTGTTAAGCCTTATGGAAGACAAGTGTTTCCTCACGAAAGAAGTGAAGGTTGTACTATTAACCAGAATAGTTTGCTTCCCAGTTGTATTCTAGTAGTTAACAATAGACCGTTTTCAAGAGATCATTATAGGACCTGTCCTATTATGGCTCTTGCCGTTTTACATTAAACATTTTTAAAAGCGTTGCAGTTCGATTTTTCAAAGACCTGCCTGAAAAGTACCTTGGTCATTGTACATTTATGACCATTTATACCTGAAAATAACATAACAACTTGCTTCACTACGAAAATTGATTTGAAAAAGTTAAAAACGGCGTTTCCACGGTGGTCCGCAAGCAAATTTCCCTTCTCTGATGTGAACTTTTTATCCCCACTTTTTATACATTTCTCAAATACGGCTTCTTGTCACTGGTTGTCCGTAAATAAATTTGCATGGAAAATTAAAAGCTTGTTTGAGCTGGGTACTTGAAATATCAAGCCTCGCACCGTTTTACCGCTAATAAAATCGTTTTGTCAAGGGTTGTTAACCTGCGGGGAAGGTTTATATAAAATCTGCCGACCGAATTGGAACAACTATAGCTTTGATCTCATTGACGGCATTGGCATAAATATTGCACTCGGAGTTTGTCTCCAACGAAAAACTGCTAAGGGGCCGACCAGTTAACTCTTGAGGGGGGGGGGGGGGGGGGGGATTTGAAAAAAAAATTCCTGCAAGCGCTTGTCGGAAGAAAAAAATTGCATGCAGCACAAATGTAATAGAAGGCTTATGGGGGAAAAAGGGAAAAAAATTTCCTGCCCACCAGATTGCTAGTTAAAAAAAAGAAATTTTGATGACCAGAAATCATCCCGACCCCCCGCCCCTCAACAGTTAAATGGTCGGCCCCTAAAACAAGCAAACAAAACAGCTTGGATCCCCAGTCCCCACGGGTTTTTGAACTCTCCCCAGATTTCTCGCATCATTTCATTTGTGAATCCTTCAGCTCAAGGTTTCATCTAATTTACCCTCGTGTTATTTGATTGAAACGGAAGGGTCTTGTTACTAAAGGTAAGGCAATCTTACATACATTATGGGTACGTTAGTTGTGATAGTGATATGCTGATTCGGTACTGATCACGAACACACTGATGACTTGAAATGAAGTGGACCAAAGAATAGACGCACATTTATAAACTGCGTGACCTCGGGCTTCCTTTGAGCAAATTTTCCAGGTATAAAAGAGTTCAAATTATTAAGATGGTTTTATATTTTATGCTTTCAAGCACATAACGTTCATTGGTAGGGTTAGATACATTTTGATCGACATGCCATATGAAAAGGATATGTACCTATAATTGTGGTTGAGGAAAGTAAGTACGGCAATGTAAGTCGAACGCTGACTAAAAAAGTGGAGGGCGATCAGAAAGACAATAAATTTACAGTACCACTCAAAAGTAAGTTACCAGTCGCGTCTCTTTTCCTGCGTGACGAGAATCGCGTAGCGAGAATTACTGATGCGGTAATGTATCGGTCAAATAGAAGCTTCAACATGCCCCCCCGGGCATACCCCGGGCATTTGACATCTTTGCCGTCCCGGGGAGGAGGGAATTTGATTATCAGAGTCTTCCAGGGGGTGGGGAATTTGATCCCCATGCTTTAGGGGTGGGGAATTTGAACTGCACCTTCAATTTCATGTAAAATCTTTGGCGTGGCGAGCTATCATGGGGGACGTGGTGTTAGAGGATTTTCGTGGAAAAGATTGTGCCTTTGTGGCCAATTGGTTACAAGGAAAGGGCTTAAACAAGGTTTGTGCCGTTTTTGAAGTATTTAAATTTTAACATTTTTAATATTGGATTCAGGCTTTGAATGTATGAATGTATGTTATTGTTGTGTTTACAAGGAAATACAATACCTATACCAGCGATTCAATACAACAACATAAAATAGAATAAAATAAAATAAAAAGTTCAGGTCAACTACTTTGATCTACTGCAAGTATGTTAATTTATACAGTGAGCGATGATGCATGTCAGTGAAATGGTCATGATGTAGTAATCTCAATAGGTGGGATCTTTTTTTATAGAACGCTTTGTATATTGCATGATGAAGAAAAGCTGAGCATTCAGTAACCTTGTAGCAGCGATTTCCACCGCTTTGCACGAGTTTTTTGTTCGTAGTAAATACGCTAACAGTGTTTCTCCGTTTTTGTGATATTTATAAAGATTTTGTTCGACAACTGAAGGCGTTTCCGCCGTCCTTCTGTCATTTTTGTGCCTGTGAAATGTCCCCAGGGTGGGGGCATTTGATCACCTGAATGGACCCTAGTGTGGGGCATTTGAACGGCATTTGGGCCCGGGTAGGGGGGAAATTTGAACAATAATTTTCAAAAAAGTCAAATGCCTGGGGGGTTGCCCGGGGGAGGCATGTTGAAGCTTTGATTTGACCGATACATAATTTTTGGCATAAATTGTTGACACAAGAAACCAACCAAAATTTTCTTGTAGCGTTACCTCAAAGACTGAGGTAAATGGGTGTTAGATCTTTGGTTAAGTTTTTTTCGAGAAGCTTTCCTTTAACTTGTCAACACTGTTTAAGGTGGTGATTTGCGTTTTTCAGAATGAAAGATTCAACCGATTTCCATGATTTTTGATAATGGAACTTTAAGAAAGTGTTATTTATTTTCTTGTAGGTGTAAGAACTTTTGAGATATCGGCATATATTTAAAACCGCATTTTTACGAAAAATGTAAACAACTTCTAAATCCCATGACAGGTTTTTCCCTAACTTTAGCAAATAAGCCTTAGAGCTCTCTAGTTTTACGTCTGCAACTTTGAAGGCAATCATGACCATAGAACTCACTGCACATGCTGGTCAAATTTAACCTTAAAATGCTACGCTAACACATTTGTGAAAGTTGACACACAAATAGAGCAAGACTGCCAACAGACTATCTCCTATTTGAAAGGATATTTCTACCTAAAGCTTTATTGCAAGAAACAGAGCAATCAGAAACTTAATTACAGCGAATACAGTTAACACTTTAAGAAGAACAATTTTAAGCTGAGTGCCTCTCGTCACATTCGCACGGGCAATTTACTGTTGGGGATAATGAGAAGAATAAGAGAATTGTCATATTTGTCTTCATCTTTATTCCCAAGTGGTAAACTTTCCGTGCGAATGTGATGGCAAGCTTGAATAAATTACCAAATACATGGGTTTTCATTGCAGCTGAAAAATGGATGGTTAGAAGTACTGGAGTTGGTGGCCATATTTCTCTTCAAAACAGGAACCTGCGACGCTAAAAACTCTTGACAGTTTTTCGTAGATGCTATATTTTGCTTTGTTAAGATTTGTTTCCAAAAGAGAGGGACAAATACAACTTAAGTTTGATGAATAGAAGTTCTTTAATATTACCGCACACTCAGCATAAAGTTGTTCTTCCTGTAGTGCTAACTATGTTCACCGTTGTTTTCTGATCACTGTTTCTTGCAATAAAGCTTTAGGTAGGAATATCCTTTCAGATAGGAGATATAGTCTGTCGGCACTCTACCTCTATTCATGCGTCAACTTTCACAACGATGTGTTAGCATAGTATTTGACGGTTTAATTTGACCAGCATTTTGTGCAGCGAGTTCTACGGTCACGATTCCCTTCAAACTTGCAGATGTAAAACTAGAGAGCTCTGAGGCTTATTTGCTGAAGTTAGGGAAAAATCTGTCGTGGGATTTTGAAGTTATTTACATTTTAGTAAAAATGAGGTGTTAAATATATATGCCGATATCTCAAAGGTTTCTATATCTACAAGAAAACAAATAACATTTTCTTAAAGTTCCATCAATATTTATTTGGTATGCCAGAAATCATAGAAATCGGTTGAATCTTTCATTCTAAAAAACACAAATCCAAAACATAACCAATATCCATATTAATAGGTTCGAACCACCTTAATTGGAGTTTCTGACTTTTCTGATTTGTTAGCAATTGACATTCCACTCTACATTTGATCATGATGTTTGGTTTGCCAAAACATGAAAGCCACTTCTAGTTTCTGTGATTTTTTGGAATGAACAAACCAACATGAAAAGAATCAAATATACTGCAAATTGCTAGCGATGAGTCTCTCAACCAAAAATGAAGCTCTTGTGATGTGTGTAGTTGTAGTTCACACATTGTGGGAACTTTCGCTGAGGGACCAGTCATAAAGTACAAGGGGGGGGTGGGCTATGAAAAATTGGGGGTGGGTCACTATTTTTTAACACGTTAAAAAGGGTGGGTCAGGAAAAATAATGCACCGCATTTGGGGTGGGTCATGTTAAATTATTCACATGTCACTAAAAACATTAGTAAAATCTTTTTTTAACAATAAATCTAATTTTTCACATTAATCCAACTTTATATGACAACAGGAATTCACAATTATTAAATATTTTGTATCTATTTATATACAGTCTTTAAATCTGAAGAGTAGTCACGCGGGAAACTTTTTATAGTGTAAAATCTAGAACAAAGCCCTACTGTGTGTTCATAAACCTAACTTATGTTAACATCTTTTTTTAATATCTTTTTCTAATTATCTTTAGTCATCTTCACCATTACCATCACCCTCAGAAGCATTACCATCCTCCTCCTCCTGTTTGCTATGATTGTTTCAATAGCATCCACTGTAAATTTACCTTTACTTATTAATAGTTTTAACCACCTACCATCTCTCTTTGTTAAGCTGTTAAGGCCTATCACACTACAATGATCGGAGGTTATAACTTCACCATAAGATGATGAGTGACTGATTGCAGAGAACACTCTCTCACAATTTTTCTCTGCTCTTCCACAGCGTCGCTTCCTAACTTTTGCTTTATTTTTTTTTCACTCTTCTCTTTTTCAAGACGAATGTTTCTTTTGCAAAAGGATACATTGTCTTGTGTTTTTCTTTTTGGGCCTCTGCCCTCATCAAAGTCTGGTCAATGTTACTTTGCAATTCTGCAATCATTCCCCAGCATTTTCATTGAAGCGTTGCCCACACTCTTGCCCACTGATGATTTTCCCAGACTTTTTAGTGTACTGTTGGGCATTCTCTTTCTGGATACTACTCTTGAGCTACTCAGATTTCTCTTTCAAATCGGGAAGTTTTTTTAATCTTGTGATTAAATTCCTTGGCGGTCAGTAGGCTTTAAGGGTTCCTCCTCTGAATCGCCTTGAAGTGGTAAGCCAATGTTCCCTAATGTACCTATCCACATCAGCGTTACTGGTTTCGGTTGGGAGGTGGGTCACTAGTTTTTTCTGTGCCACTCCAGGGGTGGGCCACCCCAATTTTGTCAAATAATTTGTGGGTGGGCCACTGAAAAGCAGTACTCAAAAAAAAATTTTTATAGCCCACCCCC